TCATGTACGTGTTACCAGCGTCAAGTGACTACCGCTGTTGTAGCAATATTATTGTAAAAATAATAAGTACAGTTATGTCAAATGGTTTATTATGGAAACATTTTCGTCGTCGGAATATATCTTCAATGTATTATATGTAAGTCAATGGGTTAGTGGGCCCCGTTGTTCGTCATGGCCCACAGAAACACGTCCACGACGAATAAGGAGGACTGGTTGTACTTTAAAGTGATATCTGGAAGAAAGAGTGTCAGTAATTTTACTGTTTTCGCTTGATAAACACAACATTTTGTTTCGTTTGTTTGTTGTTAAATAAAAATCTACACAATGGGTTATCTGTGCTGTGTCCACCATGAGTTTGAAATCCGATTTTTGCGTAATAAATTAAAAATTAGAAAGAGCTCTGTAGTAAATAAATTTAAACACCATTTTTATATCTTGAAATTTTAAAAAAACTATTATTTTTAGAATCGTAGGCTGAAACTTGGATCAAGAGATAACTGTCGGAATGTTCATAGCGTTTTTACACGGATTTCATTCCCCTCTGGCTCAGTGGTAAGTATAAGGGTTTGTAAAGCTAGCCATCTGGTTTCGATACCCATGGTTGGCAGAGTATACAGATAGCCCACTATGTAGCTTTGTACTTAACAATAAACACACAAATACACAGTGTTCATAATATCATCGTATCAACTCATTTCTGTATCTTTACATTTAATATAATCCTCTTGTCGTGCTTTAATTGACATCAGCATTGTAAAAATGATATAATATTTTACCAACGGTTATGTATTTATTCGATATGATATTATTAAGAGCAAAAAACAAAAATGAATTTTTTTGTCATCACTAATATGCAGTAGCACAACGTGCCTGAAAGTGAGAAGAAATTATGATATTATTAATTGGAAGTGTGAAAGATTATACCTCAGTATTTGGTCTAACTGAATATATTATTTACTTCAATTCATTTTTAATATTTTAATAAAATAACGTAGGACATGCACAGAAAAAAATATGACATGTAAGAAAAACCTATTTAAATATACAAAACATTAAAGCATTTCGAGTAAAATCAAAATGCTCATTTTACAATGTAGTTGCGCAATTACGTTTGCAGGGTACGACACTATCGTCTCATGTCTGACGAAAAAGTTATCACTAGTGTAGGCTGTAACTGTAAACTCTAACTTGATCATTGACGTACAACGTCTTTGTAAATTTAGGTAAGAACTAAGAGTTATTGAAGTTACGTTAATGTTACTCACTGTTAAACTTATGAGTTATAGTGTTAGTCTTGTATTGTTCAATTTGTTGGTAGTCTGACGAATCAATAAAATTTTACTTTTATTTTTAACCATTTTGTTAACTTTTGTAAGTTCTTTTAGAAAACGTGTTGCACGTTATCCAATAACGTCACCAAGTTACAAGGATTTAATCCTGCATGATGAAAAATTAACTACACTTGAACGTGAAGTGTCTCTTTGTTATTATGTTTATATCTTGACTTAGTGGAAAAGGTTCAGGGAAGGGCTATTGATAAAACTAATACTCAGTAATAGTAATAGAACTAAACTAGTACTAGTAGTCCTTCTATGAACGCTTCCCAGCAGGTCAACGATATATTAATTGAGTAATTTGTAGTTGATTTATCATCATACTACAACATAGTAGAAATATACTTCAACTAGTACTACCATCACTGTATTAGTAGGGCTAATAATTATCGAAGTTAGATATGAATTCAAACCTTTCCTGTACAAATGCTATATTGATGACATTTTCTTGCTGTTTTAAACATCTAGTCGCATCTTTAAATTACGTATTTACCCGAACTAAGTTTGAAAAAAAAAAAGAATCCTTAACGTTTCTTGACATTAAGATCACTAAACTGTTTTTCATAAAAGACTTTTAGAAGCTTTTACACAAATTTTAATTTGTTTTAACAGCTTTAACCCCAAAATCTTCAAACAAAGCATATTCATGACCCTTTGAAACAGAATTTTTTAGTCTCTGCTCAAACTACTGTATTTTACACAGATAAATTACACTTCTGCACAAATATCTGTTACAAAATAGCTACTCACTAATTTCCTAATAAACATTACTCACAAATATGTAAACAACAATTTCCAGTTACTTGCTACTTTGTACACCATCCCCAACCTTCCTCTCATTATCTGCCTTCCCTTTTACAAATTAAAAAACTTTTCTCCTTGATAAAAAAAATCTTTCTACACCAAAATTCAGCTAAGACTAATGTATAGATATAGTCTTCCTATTAAACATTTCTTTCATTATAAAGATCAAATTCCAGCACTTCTACATTTATCACTCATGTATATGTGTAGTGATTATAAGGTCATGTGCATTGTCAAAACAAATAAATACCAATAGTCTGTGAACACAGGGGAGTTTTGAATAGGACTGGCCATCCATTACTTAAACCCAGGCACTCAGCTATTCATTCACATGTTGAGACAACATTTCATATATTGATTTATTCATTATTACTACAAGGATTGTATTGATTATAAGGTCATGTGCATTGTCAAAACAAAACACTTAAATACCAATAGTCTGTGAACACCGAGGAGTTT